AATGAAACATTTGTCATTTTTAATCATTGTGCAATTTCTTAACATGACACAATTCATTTGAGACCTCAAAAGCATATTTTTTTTATACATTTTTACTATACAATGATAGAGGGTCTAGAATTATATTCTGCAAATTCTAATTAATTTATCAAATGGTTGACAAATAGAGATGTAGTACTCAATATTTAGGAATCCAGCATCCTTGAGTCACTAATGTCTATTTGTCTGCATATTCGTCAAAATGCTCTATAAAAATCTTTTCTGCAGTTCTTTTTTTTTTATTTCAGTATAACATATTTTACAGGTATAGTCCGATCTGATGTTTGCCAAGCTTTTTAACGATTTAGACATTTTACGTGCCAGGATTTTATGGCACGTCAAATATCCAAATCGCGAAAAAGTCCGGCATACGTCAGATATTTCAGTCTAAGTATACAGGTAGATCATACTAAAAAAATATTGGGTTTTATAATTTCAATGATTAAATGTGATATACAATTTTAGCTTTCACGTGTTCCTCGGATAGTCAGTGTCCGTACTCAGGTTACTTCTGTTGTAAAGGAACAAGATATTGCTGTCCGTGGGGTACCGTGTGTACAGGGACCATCAACTGTATCAGTATCGGGTAAGGAGACAAGCTCTACATGTAAAAATAGGATATTTTTAAAATGAGATATGCATGGATAAATTATTCATTACATCAGTTAAGGATAACAGTATATGTAGCAGTAAAATGCATAGGCACCCAACGAATGGATGGTGTAAAAGCCCCCCCCCCCTCCCCCGCCTAGATTCTGAGAATTTTTATTAGACACAGACACTTATCAAAAATACATGATTTCCTTGTCTATTATTCTTATATTTCGATATGGGATATTTATTTCCGTTTTTTTTTAGATTTAGAGATTGTCACTCTACAATATAATACTATAATAGTATTTTCATATATTATTATTTATATCAAAAGCTGAAGGGGAAGGGGGGGCGGGGGGTATACAACATTCAATCGTCAGGTGCCTGTGGTAAAATGGTTGTAAATTGAGAAATAGTTAATAATCTTTGCGATAAATCTCAATAATCAGCTGTCTTCTGATGTAAGGAAACTCTATCTTCCAGAATATAATGTGCAGTACATTTTTTGAATTTATTTTCCCAATTATTCAGGGGTGGGATTAGTGTATTATCTGTCCTTTCTTTTATTGCCTGGGTATTCTCAGGTTAAGATTTGAGTTTATTCCGTGTATTTCCTTATATCTCGATTCCCATTTCAGTGGTTGAAAAGTAAGACCCAGTAAGGTGATAGTTTTGGTTTTGGATTAAATGTAAGACAATAGATATTAATTCACAGGTACATGTAAATTCATGTGTTTTATTATTTTCTTCAGGACAATAGTTGGACCTATCGTCGGAGCAGTGGTCCTTATTATTAGCTGTATCGTATGTTGTGTGTGTTACAGTAAGTATAAGATTCATTCACTAAATCTTTAAATAGGATCGTCTGAAATTCCAAGGAGCAAGAAAATATATAAAAATTGAGGTGTCTTTAAAAAGAATCTAGGACACCGACTTAAAAAATATCCAAAAATATACAAAAACAACACATATATTGTGAATCCAATGATTCATATTTTTCTAGAGCCTGATATGCATGTTTAGATTGTACATAAATTAAAAGTGAAAAGAACATTACAATTAGAGGACCTACAATATTTCTTCGATTGTTCATTTTCTAAAATGATTGGAAAAAGACTATACAAGTAATCGTCAGTCTGAAAAGTTTAATATCCATGGAAAAAGAACTCTTTTTAACCATTCCTTTTTTAAAACATTACGTGTATTGGCAGAAAATGCATTAAGAAAACAATGAACGAAAACAGAGAGTAAAGGAAATAAACAATAAATCTTTAGCCTCTCCTTATACGGTATGTCTTATCTTACTTGTGCAGATCGCCGAAGGCGCCAGGTTCCACCTCCAGCAGTTGTTTACGGACAACAACAACAAGGAGTTGTAATCGGACAACAAACATATGGACAACCCCAGGCTTACGGAAAACAAGTATATAGCAAACCTCAAGCTTACGGACAACCTCCAAATTACGCCCAAGGTTACGGACAACCTCAGATAAGTGAAAAAGGTTATGATTCACCATTGTCAAAAGATACAACGGACAACAAAGTGAAGTACTAGACGGCAGAAAGTAAAACAACATTCCCATTTATATTAGAAATACATATCTTAATAATCGTGGTATGTTTAAGTGAAGTTAGACACGCACAAATCATTCAGTAATGTATTCTTTGCTTCCAATCAAACAACGTTTAATGATCCACGTTCTTTTGGAATAATTTTCAGAATTAATTCATTATATTAGTATTTTATCATATTTTTTCACTCACGGTACCAAAGCAACATCATGTCATCAATTGTGTGTAAAATCTTTGTATATCATGTCCAAAATGGGCATTATCTAATCATTTGATGCTTGTGTAGATTTATGTTTTAGCCCACCCCAGATGTAATCTCAAGTGAGCTTTTCTGATCATCTTGGTGTCCGTCTAGCTGTTCAGCTGTCTGTCTGTCCAACCGTTCAAAACTTAACATTTTCAACTTCTACTCAAGAAACCTTGTGCCAAATATAACTAAAATTGGTACTTATTTTGATGCAGAAAATATGAAACTTATGTGAAAACATCCTGGGAAAGTGTCAAAATTAAATTGTTGAAATTATGGACCCTTGGGGTTTGATGAGGCCACAAAATGGAGTCAACGTTCAACGTTAAAATATGTAGGAAAAATCTTTAAAAATAATCTTCGGGAGAACCATTAGGTTTGGAAAGATGACACTTATGTGAAATCATCCTGGGTTGGTGTAGATTCAAAAGTTTCGAAATCATGGCCCGGGGGGTAGAGTGGCATAACAAGTGGGAAAACCTGGTCAAGAAAGGTAGGCCCAAAGTTACTTATGTGAGCGTTGTGGCCCATGGATCTCTTGTTTAATGCTATGCAACTACATGTCTCCCTTCATAAATATATAATTTTTTTTAATTTCATACATACAGTATTATATCTTATACCTTTCATCCGTATCCGATGATTTTTTTTTTTCGCAAAAATGCATGAATTTTGAATGAATATATAAAATGTTTACACCACTTATTTCTGGTCAAAACATTGTCTTTTACATTATTTATACAGTCGCATAATACATGTACATGGATTGTAAAAATGTATGTATAAATATAATATACTGTAAATTATAAACATGTTTTTAAATAAAATGTCATTTATCCATTTGTTATTTAATTAAATTTTTAAACAATTATTATTTTAAAACTTGTTTATTCCCTTTATGACGTGAAACTTTAAATCATAATCTATGTGGATGAAAAAGTTGACAACAACTTCACGAATCTATGTGGATGAAAAAGTTGACAACAATTTCACGCCAATGTTCTTAATTCCCCTCGAGCTCCCCCTTAGAAATATTCACTTAACAATGCTGCGAATGACCTCATCTATCTCAATATATAATTACAGCAAGACAAAATGATTCCAAAAAAGGATCTTTACAAGATCATATTGGAGAGAAACATGTTTTACAAACCATATATTGTTATGGGATACAGTGGGATGTTTTGTTTATTACAAAGTTGAGGGATCGAGGACCTGAAAGTATAAAAGGTTAGTAATATAAATTTTATATCCGGCGAGGCTATTATTATACCGGTACAACAACCCACTGGTAGGCATCAACATAACTCATTAACTGTGCACTTAATATTCTTAAGCTTTACAGATGTAATGATCACTATGTCTAGTAACTTTCTTTAATTCTCACGTGGAGGAAGCAACAAATCTCTATATAATTTAAATTGACATATGTAAGAATACAAATGGAAAGCAGAGCAAACAAGAACCTCTAAAACACTACAAGTTGGATCAGGTTCCAGAGAGAAATAACTATCCCCTTTCGACTATTCCCACCGTGGTATGATCCTTGTTTGGGGGGGGGGGGGGGGGGGTGGGGGGGGGTGGGGGGCGAATGAAAAAAGTCATTAGAATTCAGTGTGGAATGATAGAAAAATTGACCTGCAACAAGCTAAAAAAAAATAGGAGGGTTGTCCCAAAATAGACAAGCGTTGTTTTGTAGGAACCCGATGTCATAGGCGGCGCAATACCCAAAAGTTGCAATTAAAATTAGGTATATTATGTTTGAAATCCTACGGAAAAGTAATAATAACCCTGTATTTTTTTTAATGGAAATGAAAATTCTTAGTACTGTTTTATTAACTTTTATTCTTTAAATTATTCTTTAAATTTTGATGCTAATGTTTTACTAAATATGAAATGTATAGCGTTTTATATACATGGAGTTGAAATCCCACTTTTTGAAAAATGGCGGTTGCGTTGGCACAGGCGGCGCACTGGACTAAGATCAAGTGTTTTGATCCTAAATTTACTCTTACAGAAATGTACCAGTCATAAATGTTTGCTGCACATGGAAACGTTTTCCTGTTCTTAGTATTTAAAATGACTGAAACGGTTATTCCTTGTAAATGAATAACTGTTTCAGTAACTAAAATATAAAAGACAGGGCTAAGATCTGGGCAAGAGTTCCACTGAGCAACTCCATTAGAGAAGACAGACGAAAAGCCCGTGAAAATATAGCGTTTTCAAATTATATATAATACTTTCATACCTGTACATGTATATACTTTGTTTACATATTTTTATGTTTTATCATATCATAGTAATTAAGATATATCACATTTTAATTATGAACGTTTCGTTTAATTTAAGAATTTGATTCTGATAAATGAAATATTTTCTCTAAAATGTTAAACCCTTGACATTTGTATTTTATGACGTTGCAGATTGCTCCGGGTGTAAGAGAACAAAATCGCTTCATATCCTATTACTCGAATAGTTTTCAAGTAAACACAATAAAAATTCGTAATTTATCTGCCAGGAACACGCTTTTCCATCCTGAAAATAAAGATACATTTGACTTCTTAAAAAGATATGAGCTTAGTCTACGAAATTTTGGGACAACCCTCGTATAGTAAAACATTTCAGTCAATGAGAATGATTAAACAACGATGAGGTTCCAAGAAATAAGACTAGTGTCATACAACCTAACAGTCGTAGCACAAAACCAATATAATTAAAGGAGAGGGGGGTTCCACAAACACTACATTGTTATGAGGTTAAGGAGTTATCAAACAAGTTTATAAATTGTACACCTCGTTCCATCTGAAATCAGGAATTCGTCATAACTCTGATTAAGGACATACGCAACGTACCTTACCTACTGATAGATTTCAAAGATATTCTAAATTTCAACTAAAAATATAATTACATATTCATACACAAAAAATCAGAATGCCTTACCAGAGGTTTTGAAAAGATATCGAGTTTTGAAAATTTTTGCATAATTCAAATAAAAATGTGCAAAAATTATAAAACACAAGTTCCAAATTTTAATTCTTCAAAAATTGTTTTAGAAGTGGTGTACAAATCCATATATAGACATTAAAACTATTGCACACATGTCCTTCATTTAGTGGAACTCTTCAACTCCAGGGAAGAACCCCAAAAAGTTCAAACTACGTTGCGTATGACCTTAAATGACATAAATTCTCCTAAATACTTGGAAAGCAAACATTGACTGTTAATTCCATATTGGAAAATTACATTAACCTGACCAATTTGTAAATGATTCTTTATCATTTGGCTACAATTATACGTTTCACAAAAGTAATTCAAAGAAAAAGGTGCTTTACATCGCAAACAAACGACTTCTTCAAATAAAGCATTTAGCGCTATGTCAAGAAATCCACTTTCAAAATCACAATTTCTGCATCGGACTCCAAGACAGTTGCAATTTGCTATCGGAGGCAATAAACACACGACAACAATATTATTCTCGCAAAGTCAGAAATTTAGGGTTCTTCAAATTGTTATCTTTATACTGAAAAAGATTTTCCCCAGTGATTGAATAACAGTGCACCTCAATACCACTTACAAAAGCAAACAGTTTGTGTGTTTTTGACAATGTTATTGTAACGGTTGTATTGCTGTCCAGGCTGTTGATAGAGCTCATAATTGACAAAGTTGGAGAAACGGCAAAGATCATAATACTGCTTTGAGATGCGATGGTTATTCTGTTCTGATCTTCGTCAACACTAAAAATATCAAAGGCTTGTTTTGCTTGAGGTCGACTTCACCAACACAAATAAGTGTTTTAGTATCAAAGGCTTTCTTTAATTTAAATTTTTGAATTGTAGAAAGGCATCCAATGTATAAAATATGTCTTGCTGATCCTACCCAAAGACAAGGTTTTCTTTTGAATTCCATAGAACTGATACATGAATATAATGATCCGTCAACATTATGAAATAAGACGGTGTTCCGTGATGAAACAAAGGCCAAAGTTTCATTATCTACAAACATGCCTTGCTCTGCACAATAAGTTAGTCGAAACCCACATTTTTTCTCTGTACTCATTGATCCAGAATTCAACATGTTCTCAAAAATCTTCGATGTCTGTATTTTTTCTATATTTTCAAAAACTTGAAATGAAGATATATGCAATGCCAGATTCCAATGACTTCCTGTCGGCTTAGGTATGATTCTGACATCATCAAAGCTATCATGATCGCAAAATTGTTTCAATATTTTAGTGTGATCGTATCTATAATCATATTCTTTATCGTCAGGATTTTTGGTCTTGAATTGTTTAAACTGATCTTCGATATCTCTTATAATTTTTATGGAAGAAATAAATATTTGTGTCGGGGTACATTTTTCTTTAACTGCAGAAAGTAGTGCTTCTCCATTAGTGACTACCAGGAGGTATTGTTTTATTTCCAGGACACACTGTTTCAACTCCTCTTCTATGCTTTTTCGTGAAGGTTTTTCAAAACTGTTGCTCCAGTTCATCGAGTCTAGTTTTAATTTTTGCAACTTTTTTCGGAAACATTTTTTAGGATATCTTCCTTTTGAGCATTAAGGAGCATAATTGCTTTTTCTTTGTGATTTAAAACTTGCTTTGTTATCTTTGATATTGCAGATAGAACTTCTAAGTTCGATTTCACGACTTCTTTATGTACATTGTATTATTTCACCAACATCAGATACAGTTTCTACGTGTTCACATTGCCTGTGCTGTGCTGCAACACACAAACAGCAGCAACGATTTTCATGATTCAAGCAACAACCCTCAACACATTTACCTTCATGCAAATGACAAGGTTCATCTAATTCCGGAAAAGTCAACTTGTCATCTTTGCCTTCAAAACTTAATGCCAAGATTTTACACTCTAAAAAAAGTTTTACTTGTTGTTTTTAAAATAAGATATTTGATTTAAAAAAACTAGTAATTATTAGTTATCCATTTGGTCAGAATAGCAAGTAAATGACTATCATGGTTTGTAATTGTAAACATAATTAGCAACTAGAAACTCTTGTTGCTACAGCAACAAAGAAGGTCTTCCGTTCTCCTCTATTTATGTGCATGAATGAGCTTTTATCTATGTTAAAAAAGGCATATAATATTTTAAATGCTTTCAGGAAAACAAACGACCGGAGGTGTAACTTACCAAGATTCTCGACGTTACTTTTTACAATTATAGTCTTAATAACATTTACAAAAATCATTTTCAATTTTTTTTCATCACTTTCTGTGACGACCGGAAGTAACGGGGGACGCATTTTACCCTATATCTGTTGCCCAATCTTCATGGTTTATTATTCATATAAGTTTTGTGTCTTGATCTGTTACAGTTTACATGTAAGAGATCTCGTAATATTATCTTCTCATTTTGAGAAGAAATCACATGACCGGAAGTACATTTTTGAAAAGATATTTGAGGTTACTCTAGACATGTCAATCTGAACAACACGTCCAAAAATCATTTTAAATGCTATTTTTATAAAAAAAAAAAAATATCTATGGGATAGTATGATACTAAATTTATGCAGTTTTTCTCTCATAAGCGGAAGTTGTCGTTTCTGTTTCCAGTGGGACTGACATATTTCAAAACTACAAAAAAAGATGCTATAATGCATTACTTAGAAAGATTCCATGAAGAAAAGCTGAAATTTTCGATTTATTTGATAACTTCCTGTGACAACCGGAAGTGACAGCGGACGATCGTAAACTCAAAGAATATGTCTACTCATCAAGGTCTACCATTAATTTGGTGTCTTAATCTCTTACCGTTAACGAGATCTTGCTATGATAACTTCTGATTTTGAAGACAGGTAGTCACGCGACCGGAAGTGAA